TCACTGATCATGAGCTGGTATATCATATCATATGTAGCAAATACATAAATGGGAATAGTGTGTCATGAATTTTTGTGCATGCTTCTGGATCATCTGTAATTACATCAAAGGCTCGGCTCAAGAGTGTCCTGCCGACCAGCTTATGCCCAACCCTTTCTGTCCGCAGAACGTCTTCCGTCGCCTGCGACTCCCGCACGCCGTTTGCGCCCCGGCCGTCCGTACCGGTCTTCGCGCTGCGAGCCGCGCTGCTGGAGTTCGCGGCGGCGTCGTGGAGCTCCCATCGGGACAACGTGTGATGCCCGCGTCGAGCTTATAAGCCGTGAGCTTCGATTGGCGGCTCACGCGGTCACCAGCTGTATGTACAGCCTCGGCCCCGACGACCCCGCTAATGGCCGAGACCGGCATACCCCCTGCATGGGTCCGCTGTCCGGCGCAGCGCTGGCCGCCCGCATGTTACGTTTGGCTGTATCGCTGCCCAGCGGGAGCGCGCTCCACGCTGCGGTAGAGGCACACGTTGCGACCCGACTGAGGACCGCAACCGGATGGTGAGACGTCGGCCTCTGCGCCCTGGCCGGGGTAGGCGTGACCGACGTCACAGTGGAGGAACACCCAAACAAGACCAGCCCACCGTCGGAGCAGCATGGAAATATCATGTTCTGCCTGGACGTCGGACCCGGCGGCCGCAGAGCACCTGCACACGTGCGGAGAGGGGCGCTGGAGGCGCGGCTTCTGACATCCCGCGGCGCGGCTGCTGGCAATACCTGACAACGGCGGCAATGGAGGCGGTTGGGAACAGCTGCAGCAATGGTGATGGCGGTGATGGCGACATGGCGGTTTGGGACTTCATCTCAGCGCGGCCGCCGCCCAGCTGCTCAGCCACCTACCGGATGGCGGGGTGGCCCTTACGGCCCTCACGCCCGTTCGGTCTGCGGCCACGTTCTGGGGTGGCCGTCGCGGGGTTAGCGGCGTTGGACTTCGTCCTTTATCCAGACTGCACCGTACCATCTGAACGGATGGATCTGCCAAGAAAGATGACATCCAAGGCGGCTATGAGGCGATCACAAAGCTTCAGCAAGAGCTTCTCCTTCATGGGGCCGGCCGGCCGTTAAGTCGCAACACCGGCTGCCGAGTGCCAACAGCTGCGTGCGCTGGCGCCGACGCGTTGTGGGCCGCGCTGCTGACGCTCAAGCTGCGATATCAACCATCTATGAATAAGTGGCAGCGGTGGCGGCTTGTCAGTTGTTAACGTGCCTTTGCAGACGTTGTGAATAGCCCGCGTTGGAATCGCATGGTTGGCAACACCACGCAAGCTAAAATGGGCTTCCTTGATGAACCTACTTTTTAAGCATTGTAGCCTTTGTAATTTTTGATGTTTTGCTGTAGGTATTATTTTCTACATATATACTATATAGGCACTCACGTGCTTTGAATCGCGCAATGCAATTGAACCATGGTAAAGACAATGATAAATGAACTGAGAGCTGACATGCCCCATGCTTTGTGTGAGTGTGTGTGTGTGTTTTTTTGGCGAGTCGATAAAAGTGGTTTTGGACACTGGATGAGTTTTTAGGGGTGTGGTGAGGGGGAATGTAATTCCACAGACCTTTTGTCAGATTCACCAATGCAGTAGGTCTGTGCGGTATTTAGATATCGGAGCATTCTTTGAAAGTCGTGAATAGGGCAACTGAGAACCTACCTATAGCCGTGATATCCCCTCACAAAAACTTCTTTTAAATAACCGGGGATAAGTACATAAGCAGAGTAATTGCTATTACGAACACCTAGGTATCACAATGCTGAGCGAATAGGAAAATCTATAGATGGAGAATTGTGCCGCGTTACGGGTGCTCGGGCGCAGCCAATCCAGCGTTACCCCAGCGGTGACCTTGACCCGCATCGTCTGTCTCGGCTCCAAAGCCAAATCGGCGTGGAATTAGGAGCGCTCGAGCACTCATGGTCCAGCGCAATTCTCCACCTGAATCCATTCCTGATACACATTTGCTTGCTCATAGTCATGTAACCCCGGTAAATTCATCTAACTTTCATATTGGTCGCTCCATAGACAGATGGCCACAGATATCAACTTAAAAGGCCATTGTTGCATTCATTTAGTGGAGATCATTAAAGAGCCGTGATAGGCCACAAGTCGCGTGACATCATACGTGTAACAACCAATGACGTCGGCCTGCAAAACCCAATGGAAGCGGCTAGCAGCGTGCAATAAAACAGGGCGCTGCTTTCTAAATGTCTGTCGTGCGCCATAAATGAATATATCTTTTGTAGTGTGGCAACTCAGTATCTTTTTTTAACTATTGTACTAGTATTTAATAATTTCATAATTTTATAATTGTGCTTACGCTTTATGTTGATGTTAGTGATAAATCCTTAGATAAAGTAAATCGATGTGATATTTAATAGAAAAATAGCAAACTAACGCGCCATTCATTCGAAAGCTGGTAAACCTACTAAAAAGAACTACTAAAATTCCTGAGGAACCAAAGGATTATATTGGTATCAAATAGATGCCTGCTATTCCGTCGTGAAAACGGCCAATATATAAAAAATGAAGAGAAAGTCACCTGCACTTTCCCTCAGACACGACTGATATCAGCCGGCCTACAGGCAATTCCAGATGTTTTGAAACGCCAAACAAATTAAGGGTGAAAGAAAGCGGAGCAAAGAAAGCGTGATTGACGACAAAATGAAGCCAACACGAACAGCCACGAGTTGACTTCACACAGCCAGTCAACTGACTCTAAAATTAAGAACTGAGCTGCACTGAATAGCGGATCAAAGGATTCATAGACTTGGTGAGCTTTACAAGGGCAGGGCCCTGACATTGCAAAATAGACTCAGTTAATGCGTACCTACGTACTAGGGTTGTCCCGTGCAGGCATACACTGGTCTATGCGAAGCGAGGTGTTTCATATTTCACCAAACAATTATTTCTTTGATATATGAACATTGCGAGAATGCACGGATAAACTGAAACACAGCTGCGAAGCACGCTCGTTTAATTTGTTTCAAATAACCGGCACAATTTCGATCCTCCATAGATAATCGTAACATTGTAATTTTCATAAGTCATCAACACATATTCCACCATCAATAAAGCTAATCAGTCTTCACTTTTGCAGTCATAAAAACACTTTTTTATAATCAACGTTCTGCTTATGCCTACATTAGTGAATAACGTTTCAAATGTGCTGCCGCAAAACATATGGTCGTTTTTACCGAGAAACCGTTTCAACTTTTCAACGAAGTGGGTCGTGGCAAAGACCAAAGACGTCTCGCTTCTGCTCATTTACGGAGTTTCATGCTAAATGATATCACAGAGCGTGAAAATTAAATTGGAGCGAATGCCAACGAAGCCCCTAGCTAACTTATTTGGCCCAGATAATTACGTTGAATAGGTCATTTGTCAATATGCTGCTGTCAACAGAAGCAGAGCTAATATTTGCTGGCTCCAAGCAGTCGATACGAGTCGAAATCGAAGTTGGGGTCGGGATGGAATCGGGGATGGGGGTTGATAAAACGAGGGTGGGGCGTTTGAGGGAGCAGACCAGCGACGCTCGATTCAGAGACGGTCCCCTGAGTTCTGCCGCCGGGCATTTCCGTGACGCCGTCGGTCAGTGTCGCTGTGACCAGCACCCGTGACGCCATCGTCGACGCCTATCGTCCTCGATGGCCAACAGAAGACGACGATCCCTCATCAGAGCGCCACCACCGACCGAGCCGTGCACCGTCAGGGCTAACTAGCACCGCCCAGAGTCGATCAACGCTAACTGGGACCCGATGAGGCCAATCTGGGCCGCGCCGTCCAACACCCACTGGTTCATCTGACCGCGGCGCTCAACACCCACTGGTTCATCTGACCGCGCGGCGCCAGCAGCGATGACGCCTGGGCGACCGACGGAGCGGCGGGCGGGGAGCGGCGGTGGGCGGGGTCGGATGGGGCGGCAGCAGGCCTGTCGGTAATGGTGCAGAACGGCGTCACCTGACGAGGCTGGGAGGGCAGAGCGGTGGAGCGGCGGGCAGAGGGACGGAGGAGACCACCGGGAGCGTCCGATGCGACTATGGTGCAGACTAGCCCCCTGGGGATCCGCAGTACCGGGCGAATTTCATCGACCCGGTGACAGGCGCGCCGTGCAGGCACTCCAATGCCGCTCACATGTGTCGCTGAAGAAAGGCCAGTAATTTCTCCCGCGGCTTCCGTAGCACTCAGTGTCAGATAAATCCGGTGCGACTTTAATCACCGCGCTGCAGCCAGGAGCAAAACAAACGGCTTGAGCACGGCCGAGAGGTTAAATATATGGAGGCTAATCGAGCCGCCCCCTGTCTGCAGCAGATGGGGTAGGAGATAATTAACACTGCATAAACCATCAGCCAAACAGCTTGGCTAGGCACTCGAGAGGAGTGCTTCACAGGGTCACCTTAGATGACGGAATGGTGATAACATACAACCTCAATGCTTGCCGTATCACATAAAAAAGAGTCGTCGTGATTTTATATGACAGGCATTTCCAAAAATTCTTCTGGTTTTATAGCTTGTCTGCTTTTTCGAGTCATTTAATGAGATCCACGGTTTCCTCATAATTCTGATGGGACTGTCAAACCTCTAATGGGAAAGCGATAAGAACGGTGAATATTATTGCTATATTGACATCTCTTCCACAGTCAGTCAGCATCATTGTTCCACTTCCTTCCTTTGTTCCTAACGCAGCGCAACTGCTGATATAGAAAATCAAATCAAATCAAGATAATGTATTGCATGCATTTTATCATTTGCTGTGCTTTACGATGCGATGCTGCAGTTGCAGTTGCAATGAAATATGTAGCTTTTATTCAAGAACGGCAAACATTTAATTGCTTACACAGCTGAAACAATTTTGCCACGGGCGCTAACAGATCTATCAAAGTACAAGAAACAAAAACAGGCGTAAGCCCTCGGAGCAAGCCTGAGTTGTTTACTCCCCTAACATGCCGTTCCTCCATTCCAGGAAACTTCACCTGCGTGCAGGTCGTCTTCACGTTCAAGCGGCGGCTGGGCTACTACCTCTTCCACACGTACATCCCGACGTGTCTGATCGTCATCATGTCTTGGATCTCGTTCTGGGTGCGCCCGGAGGCTGTGCCGGCCCGTGTCACTCTCGGAGTGACCTCTCTACTCACCCTGACCACGCAGCACTCGAATTCACAGAAGGCCCTGCCGCCCGTCTCCTATATCAAGGTTAGTGTCGCTGAATGCAGACGAATGTGCTAACTGAAGAAGGTCGAATAACAGAGCCGGGCTGACGGGATGCGAACCACGAGACGGCGCATCTTCCATTTTACATAGCGTGTCGGGAGGTGGACGCATGAGCACGCACCAGGGATTTGTCATTGTGGTTTCTTCATGACTGCTGGTCAATGGGTGACCTAAAATTGGCTCATACCTGGTATATAAATGCCGGCTAAGCCGCTCAGCTTATGATGATCTTGATAAAAATATTGCAATATGTATTTATTTGAATATTCAAATATGATTGAACATTCGTTACTTGAAGTTGTCTAAAGCGTCTCATAACAGTCATAAGTAAAAATTGAATGTAAGTTATCCTGTTTGCCTTCCTCCTGACCAACCCAAAAATAATGCGTCCCGTTCCGTTTCTCAGGCGATCGACATTTTCATGTCGTCGTGTCTGGTGTTCGTGTTTCTCTCTCTGATCGAGTACGCCCTGGTGAACATCATCCTGGGCGACATCGTCGACTCGGAGGAGGCCCTGGCCAAGCACGCAGGAGGAGTGCGCTCCTCCGTGTTCGCGCACACCAGCAAACTGCTCTACAAAAACGTGAGTACTCTGGAAACTGGTCTGCAAAAGTATTAGCCCGCACCAAATCAATAATAAGCTGCTGAGATTTATTGCTAGTGACGCACTGTTGGCTGTGTTTAGCTTGTTATTTTCTTGTATGTACGTTTTGCAAATGCCACGGGAGGTCTTGCCGATGCTGGTTTGATGAAAATTGCTGTTTCATGTAATCTGCTTTGTTGAATTTTTCTTTGCAGTCGACGCATTTCGGCGTCAGCTGCATTCTGGCACAATGTCCCGCATACTAACGCGCAGTAGAGTTACAGTGAATTGAACTTATGAAGATGTTTATGTCTGTTTATCTTTTGGCTTAGATGATAGATCCATTTATAACGTTATCCACAACACGGCAATGTTTCTAAGCAATTTGTTATCATTGCTGCAATATACTCCACATGTCTGCATGCTAATATTACCCGCGAATTGCATCATCATTCTGGTGGTATCAGTGTCCAGTTCTACGACCAAAGACCCACCCCGGTGCGGTCCAGCGGAAATTACAGGCCAGGTATCATGGCCTCACTCAGTGTCTACACGACCTTTGGCCAGATGTTCAGCTCCATGTAAATTGAATAATTTATCTTGCGGCATGTACATTTCCAGGGCAATGAACACTGACAGCGTATTTGCCGTGATGTTCGACATTCGTTGGAGCTAAAGAAAGACACCCGGCTGTCAGCACGACGTTGAAATAAGTATAAATGTCGCTATAATGAAAGGATTTCACCCTGTTTGCTCTATTGATCAAATTTGGGCTGGTGGAAAACAGCGAAGAGGAAAACTCACGCAATGAAAATTTATCAAGTTTTTGAGTTTTCTGCGAATAATGATATAGAAGTTGCGTCGACTGCAAAGAAAAATTCAACAAAGCAGATTACATGAAACAGCAGTTTTCATCAAACCAGCATAGAAGCTCTAGAAGTTCATTTATTGACTAAATGCATCCTTGCCAACACGCGCTTCTTGAAGATGCAACTTTGTCGTTCACCGAACTTGCTAAAACAGTTATGTTCTCGCTGATTAATGCTGTAATATTGCATGTGTCCAATTCTTGTCGCATTTTTAAAAGAAGCTTTGCAAAAAAATATGGTGTGCCGTTACGCATCTCATATTCGAACTGAGATTATGAGAACATAACATTCGCGATGATATGAGGTCTTCATGGTGTTGAAGAGAACTCTTTCTATTTTTCATGGTGTTACTGTAAAAAATTACGGCCAGTCACCAGGTTAACGGCGTTCCCTGGAACCTAATTTGATTGTAATTGAGGTTGTTCAGTGAGCGTCGCTAGCAAGATTAGTGACGGACGTAAAATGAACATGAATATGAGCTCGAGCATTCGTGGAATCGGAGTAAACAGCTGTTAACGTCACTAGCCAGTGTTTACTGGCACCTACGGTCGCATCCTGCCCATTCCCTATTGTCTTAACTAAGCAGGCTTCACGTCAGCCGAACTGAAACTGTCGTCTGCCAGTAAATCACCTGAAAGATGTGACCGTAACAGTTGCTATATATCAACGGTTTGCTATACAATCAACTAATCCTGTCAGAGGAGAGGTCCAGCTGTTTACCTATGTTGACCATTGATGACCATTTAATCAACTGCGTACTACAATAAATAAATCCTACCTGACCTTATTTATCGAGTAAAGTCTAGATCTTACCATCGAACAATCGAGGTCCGCATCCATGAATTACAGGTCTGCGCCTCACCCATCTACAATCCTTTCCGGCCCCCACACCACACCAATACCCCGTGTACCAATACCACCACAACCCCCCCCCCCCCCCGCCTAGTTATCCATGAGCGGTGAGCGCGGTCTGTTCTCGTCTCCACCCTCTCCGCCTGGTCGCCGCTAGGCAGCCCGAGCCGGCCTATCGACCAGTGTATCATCCGGGCGGAGGTGGTCGGCGCACCACCGCACAGTGTGGCCGAACACCAGTTTAGCGCGAATTTAATCCCAGCGCCGCTCGGATCCACTGAAAACGGTTCCCTGGTTCCAAAACTGACATTCACCCCTCGCCGGACCCATTTGATTTTCAAAATACGCGCCGGCCGAAAGGGGGGGGGGCGTATACGACCCCCGTCGCTGTTTCGCCCCTGCTGGAGCTAGAGCCTCGCGGAAAAAGACGAGCCTGTGCGCCGTTACGAGACACATCGACTGGTATCCGATTTTAAGGTCTCAGGTTAACCTGTGACCTCTGAGGTCAGGTCAAGTGCCCCAAGGTACGGATTCGTTTTTTATTAATAACTTCGCGAAAAAATGCCGCACAGCCGCAATTTTGGCATCATTGTGTTCGCCTTGCTCAGATGCGTCGAATGGTGTACTTTTTCTTCGGCTAAAGTAAACTTAAGGTGTTGACCTCGGGTCAAGGTCAGGTCAGAGCCCCCCAGATCACGAAGTTGGTCGAAGGAGGTCATGTAGCATATCATTCGATTCAGCGGGTCTTCCGGAGTCCATTGGTGGATTTCCCGACTCGCTAGCTCAATTTGATCGGGAGTTATTGACGAAAAAACTCTAATTACCCTAGTGACGCCATAAATGACGTCACGTAAGGCCAACAATGCAAAAGTGAAGCATCGTACCTTGCAAGAAGTGCATGAAATAACGATTTCGTGTGCTTGACATTGTTTATTAGGCTGGAGCCTGTCCGGCCGCGCCACCCCCGACCTTGGTCAGGTCACGCCGGACGGCCGACTAGACATGTTCAAAGCTGAATTGACGGCAAATAGGCAAAAACTGGCAGCGGAAACTTACTCGCTTATGTTCAGAAAGGTGCGGAGAGTTCAGCCATGCCCTATTCGTCATATCCATTTTTATCCATTTTGACATTTTTCAACTTCTTTATGCAATACTATCGCGAGAACGATACACATGCAGGGCTCCTGTTCTAACTCATTAAACTCAAAAACCATTCATTGAAAAGCTACCATGATAGTAGAAACAGCTTCATCATGAATTGTGTTATCCGGTGATATGCTATTTTCTCATATATCTTCTCGAAACTTCCGTAAAATTTACATTCAAAACTGGACATATTTATCAGTATCATAGCCCGATTTCAGGAACCGGAGCGTTGGTCTACTTTCGGCAGGGATATACGTCCTCAAATGGTAAAGTGGCTTAAAAATAAGGTTCTATCCGATAACTTCAGACAATTTCCTACCCATTGATAGGTATAAATAACAGTTTATCGTAAGTCGGGTTTTTGATTAAATTCGCGCTAATCTGGTATTCGGCAAGACCGTGCACCGCGCCGACCGACCGACCCGCCCCGACCGCGCCGGCCGAGCGCCGACTTCAAACAGCCGGAGAAGAGGTGGGCGATTAGCGAGGAGAGCGGAGAGACAGACGGATCAGTAGTGGTCTGTCGCCGACGGGTACTGTGAGGCTGGGTCAAGGATGGGATCATGAATTTTGAGTTATGTCGCAGGGAAAAGGAGGGTCATATCGGTCCTTGGAAGATAAAAAAGAGAGAGGAAATTCGAAGTGATATGAAGACCATGCCTGTCGAGGAGTTCAAGCTACTCGTATGTTAACAATACGTACGCTTTAGCAACCAATTACCGTGCCTACATATGTCGTAGGTCTTATGTCCATTTTAATTAACTATTTTGAAGAGCAACGACTTTATTGTTATAGAAAATAAAAATAAAACAACTCGTAAAAGCAGCTGAAATGACAGTAATCACAACAACGCAAGCAAGTTAGCATAAGAACTTTGCCCAACCGAAGATGGGCTTGAGATGAGGACAGTGTATCGACGGTTGAGTAGTTTTTGCAGCTATGCCTTTTAGCATATCACGCGCTACTACCTGTGTTAATGTGCCCATATCGCCCATTCAGTGCAATTACGACGGGTCGTCTCTGCGGCACGTCCGCCCAACAGCAGCTCGGTCCCAGAGGTAACGCTAGATCAGCGGGCAAACAGTCTCCCGGCGGGCCAGCGGCATCCAATCAGGTTAGGGGCCGCCTGCGGTGTCATCGCTGACCTCAGCCAACTCTCGGCTCGTGTAGACAGTAGCAGCCGCACGTCGAGCGATCCCCCGCGCTCACAGACGGAGAAAAGCGGCCAATAAACGCCCAGCGGCAGCCTCATGCATGAGCGAACTCGGTTTCCTCTAGAGAGTACAATTATAGGTTTTCGTTAATGGTATTTCCATCGACTGCATTTGTGGTGCTCTGGGAGCCGTAAAGAGCATTGTAATGCGGGGAACTCGCCACTATTATTATGCAATATAAATCCAGGTGCAATCTCATCAATGATTAGGGCAAATCGCGCGCCGAATAACAGATTACGTAACGACAGTGATGAACAGTAAACACGCCGCACGCTCCAGATACTTTAAATAGGTATGTAAATTATAAACAGGCCTTCCCGGACTTGCCAGGTGAAATATTTTCGTTTTTGTGCGTCACCTGACCGTTTGAGCCCCATCTGGCGGGCGGCAGAGGTGGCGGATCGCCGGCTGAATTGAATTGTCCTCGGTTCCAGCGGGCCGCCGCTGTTATTACCGGGGCTAATTGAATTGTAGGCGCTGGTAGCCGGCGGTCAGACACCTGATGAGCCCCGACTCGACCTGGACGCGCCGCCGGCTCGGCTCAGCACGTTTGGAATTCCGTTAGTGTCGGCTCGTCTCGCCAGCTAACGCAATTTCCCGGATTAAATTTCCTTTGCGCGGAATTGAGCCGTCCTGACCGCCCCGCCATCACGGCGATCTGTTGCATTGACAACAGGTGCTTCAGAGACGGCTTAGAATGCCGCGAGCTGGACGAAGCAGCGCTGGAATAATCTCTCCCGCAAGTCGTCAGGAAGCTGGATTTAGATTGCAAGACGGCGCCGGCCGGACCTTCCAGCACCTGGCACGGAACCTTTAGGGCGCACTGCTGGAAATTGGACTGCCCCTCCGCGCCGCACCGGAGCGCTGTTGGAATGACGGGGCTGACAGTGGGGCGGATGGTATCGCCGCGATTCTGCTGTTGGCAATCACGGGGGAGGAAGGGAAGGCGGTCCCAATGTGACGGTAACATGTCCACTCTCAGCCTGCCAGCTATCAGGAACGGGATAGGGAGAGAGAGAGAGAGAGAGAGAGAGAGAGAGAGAGAGAGAGAGAGAGAGAGAGAGAGAGAGAGAGAGGAGAGGAGAGGAGAGAGAGAGAGAGAGAGAGAGAGAGAGAGAGAGAGAGAGAGAGAGAGAGAGAGAGAGAGAGAGAGAGAGAGAGAGAGAGAGAGAGAGAGAGAAAAGGAGAGGAGAAGAGAGGAAAAAGAAGTCAATTAAAGAAATAAGGAAATTAAGAAGCAAACAAACAAATCTAAAAGAAACGAGAACATGAGAAAAAAATGAAAGAATGCTGGAAAATTGAGAAAGAATCAAGGTTTCCATACCTTTTCGTCAGAATACGCGGTTGCGTGTCTGTTGTACTTACGTAGGTACACATTCCTGCGTCTATCCATGCGTGCGGAGATCAATCTGGCACTAGCACTCTGACTGATTGGAAAATGGCTGCATAATGAGAATAAAAAACTATTATGACGCATTTGCGATGTGAGTATCACTATGTAAGATCCTCGTGGTGCTTTTCACCTGTAAGTGTAAGCTTATCATGCCTGGGAGTCCGATTGATTGCCACTCATATGTCATGGGTGCCTCAGTTGTATTTGATCTTTAACTATCCCAAGTTTTGTGATCCTCTGAGTTCCCGTGCTCCTGAGCTCATAACTGACCCATGCGAACTGCTTCAGCCCTTGGACCTAAGCCCTGTGACCTGCCTGAGCCCCTGCCGGACCCCTGTGACTTGCCTGAGCCCCTTTCTGACCCATTTGAACTATGTGTCCCTGTGTCTAGCCCATGTGACCTGCCTCAGTCCCTTCACTTGACCACTATGACCTGCTTGAGTCCCTTCCTGACTCACTTGACCCGTCTTAGTCCCTGTGCCTAATCCACTTGACCTAGCTCAGACCTCTACCTACCTCCTGGGACCTGCCTCAGCTCATATACCTGACCTTTGTGCCCTATTTCAGGAGACCCGCGCCGGCCCGGTCCAGATCAGCTCCTCCTGCCCGCGGCACGGCCACCTGGTGGAGGACAGCTCAGAGAATGGTTCCGTCCGTCACCGCTGCGGCGCCACCGGCACCAAGTGCCCGGCCGCGGTGGCCGGCGCCGGGGCCGCGGCCGGAGGGAGCAGCGGCACCTCACCCGCAGGTGTGACGGTGACCAAGTCGTGTCAGCAGAAGGCGCGCTACATGGAGCGCCGTGAGCGAGCGCTGTTCGTGGACAAGGTGTCGCGAGTGGTGTTCCCGACATCGTTCCTGCTACTGAACGCCATCTACTGGCTGGTTTATACCATCGAGTGGGAGGATGTGATCGAAGAGTACGCGTAAACTCTGACATGGTGCAGAGAATCGCTCGAAGGATCATACGAGGGGATATGTTGTAAACTGTGCTAAGGGAGTCGGAGAGTGCCGTGCCGAAAATCGCCTGACTGGAGGAAATTAGTGTGAATGATATTGTAATATCCTTGGACGCTCAATCCGCATCGCGCACATCAATGAACAAATGAAGCAGTGACTGACAGAAGTCAGTGCTTCATCAACGGACTTCAGATGGCTATGTGCCGTCGGTCGCAGATAACTCTTATTGATAACCGGTTATTGGTAATGTGCCACTTATTATTAGAGGAGTCTGATTCACAAGAGTGAGCTAGTGATTGATATGATCTCAGTCATCATTGACAAGAAATAGTGCACCTTCAGTGGCAGGCACAGTGTCAGTGCCCTGAATGAATCACTATCGGATGATGAATTGTGGCAAAGACAGTGGTGTCACATACTGACAGTGATTAGTGCGTGACCTACACCTGCTTTGCTTGTGACAACTGGTGTATGTCAAGACATTGAACCAAAGGCCCTGTATGCTCGAACGGTGCCAGCTCGATCTCGAATGCTCACGCTGAGGCGTTTGGTGCTCCCGTGTTGTGCATATGCTCATGATGTTTTTTTGTTTGTTGTACCCCAAAATATTTTTGTATATATGCACCTTAATCGTTCAGAATGGTGGCGATATGTGTGGTAGTGAAATGGGCATTGGTGTGCTCTGGCCTCTGGTAATTTGTAAAAGACGCCACTTGATGCATGAACGTACATATCACGTACTCGTTTTTGTCTTTAGTTTTGTGTCAAAGTGTGAGCTGATGTATTTTGAGTTTTAGCAATTTATGTCAAAAAGCTACGTTCTTTACATTTAAATAAAAAAGGTGAGCAGCACACCTATAGATAAGAGACCATGGCCTGTTTTGTAACCAAAGTCCTTTATCTTTTTAACGATCCTGTGTGCATAGCGGCGAGGACATTGACTAATTTTAAAGTGCAATACAAGATATATGTATGATGAAAGTAACATCGAAGTAAGTTTATCGGAATATAGCTCAGAGGCGTCATCCAAATAAGGTAGTATTGTATTGTATTGTATTTACATTTAAGAGCGATCCACATACAAAGTGCGTGGCGATTACTGCTCAGAATCCGTATCCGCGGTTGCTAATCTAATCATTCAAAACAGTTGCACATTCACTCACGTCAAAACTAGGACAAAACACTCTCAGGACAGCCTCATCGCTTTTACCCACCCCTATCCTATTGGTCAGCGACGATGTGCTGATTCATCGTCCACGATTGCGGCTTTAACAGCGCGGGCGAAGCGGGCGGGAGGCAGCTGCGACAGGTGAGGTGGCAGGCTGTTCAGCAGAGCTGCAGCTCGATAGCCAAACCGCCGCTTGCCCGTTTCCAGCCGTGGACGGGGAAGATGGAAGAAGTGATCTTGTCTGGATGGTCTCTCGCGGATAGCGCTATTAGCGACGAACAGGGCTGCTAGTTGCTCAGGTTCACGGCGCTGTATGACCTTGTGTGCGATGACAAGGGTGTGGAAATCGGACATACCGCGCGGGGACAACCACCCGAGTTTTGTTCGCAGGTCGGAGACATGGTCAAATTTACGGCGGCCGAAAATAACTCTAGCGGCGAAGTTAAGAATTTTTTGGAGTCGATCGAAATTTTTTTGGGACCCATTACCATAAACTGAAAGGCAGTACTGGATACGCGATACAACGAGTGCCGTCACGAGCGTTCGAATGATGCCATCTGGGAGACAGTGGCGCGCATGTGAAAGACCAATCAACAGTCCCGTACACCGGCGGCAGAGTTCAGAGACGTGTGCGTCCCATGACATAGTGCTGTCAAAAGTGACGCCAAGGTTCCCGACTTGTGCGCACGGTTGCAACGCTGCGTTGCGGAATGGTACTCTAAAGTCTGGTAATTTACGAAGATTTTGACGAGTGCCAAATACAATAAGCTGTGTTTTACTTGCGTTCACTTTGAGGGCGTTAGCGCAAAACCAGTCGTTGAGAGACGCGAGCGAGTCCTCCATGCGCGAGATGAGAACTTCGAGGTCCCGAGCTGGACCGCTAACCAATACTTGAGTGTCATCGGCATACTGAAACACTTTTGCGTCGCCCGCGTATAGCGATAAGTTGTTAGAGAAAATGGTGAAAAGAAGCGGCCCTAACGCAGAGCCCTGGAAGACACCCATGGTATTAGAAAGAGGCCTAGACAGCACTCTACGTCCGGATACATCTTTCAAAGACACGCTCTGAGTGTGTCCATGTAGATAGGTGGCGAACCAGGAAATTTCAATGCCGTGTAACATCAGTTTTTGCATCAGAAGATCGTGGTCAATCACGTCGAAACATTTACTGAGATCGAGAAGGCATAGCATTGACAAATCCCCCCTATCAGTGGCGGCCAGGATGTGTTCAGTGACAGACAGCAACGCGGTTTCCGTGGAGTGCCGGGGGCGGAAGCCGTGCTGGGAGGATGCCAGAAGGTGATTATGGGAGAGGTAGGCGTAGAGCTGCTGATGGACAATGCGTTCAACTACTTTCATGATTACAGGAACTAGGGAAATGGGTCGGAAGTTTGCGGGGTCTGAAGGGTTACCAGACTTGAACAGAGGGTGAACTATGGAATGTTTCCATGAATCGGGGATGTCAGATTGGATTAAGCAGGTATTAATAATATGCAGGATGACACCACCAATAGCGGGGAATCCGAATTTCAGCATGCGGACACACACGTTATCGGAGCCGCAGGCACTCGAGTTACGCATGCTGAAAATAATCCGCTCGAGCTCCCCCAGTGTTATCTCACGAAGTTGAAAACTGCATGCGCCGACACGGGTGAGACGCACATCCAAATCGGTGGGAGTGTTTTGGGCTCGGATCTCGTCAGCGACACGAGGACCGACAGATACAAAAAATGAATTTAAATCATCGGCAGATAGATCGGGCTGGACGTCTGGGCCGTCCTTCTTCGCGGCTACCACTGACCTGATGCACTGCCAAACTTTGTTGGGGCCCCGCTCCCCAATTTCTCTCCGTATCTCTATTCGCCTGTCTCGACGCACTGCCGCCCGGACTGAGCGGTTTAGGTCTCTGTATTCGCTCGAGTTGCGGCCTAGATGGCGAAGCGCAGCGCGACGTTGAGACATGAGGTTACGGGTGGCGGCGGAGACGGGAGGAGCGGTCGGGTTACGGATAGACACACGCTTGATTGGGGCATGGGCATCAAAAACAGGTACGAAGAACGACAAGAAAGCATGCCACTTGTCACTGACAGTTTCGGCAGAGAAGACATAATCCCAGTCGACATCGAGTAAGTCGTGATACAGTGCAGGGTGATCTAGGCGCTTAAAAGAGCGAGATGAGATAACGGCGGGCTTTTGACGCACTTTCGGCACATTGACAATCACGTCGATGATTTTATGGGGACTGAAGTGACAATAATTAACGCTGGTGTCACACACAAGTTCGCGTTTGTTAACAATACATACATCCAATAGAGAGCCGGAGGTAAAAGTTGGATTTGTTACTAGTTGATCTAAAGAATAATTCGATAAGAAGCTGATCAGATGTTGAGACGCGCGGAAATTCGGCCCCTTCAATAGGTCACAGTTGAGGTCCCCGCAGAGAACGAACGGAACTCTGGGGTAATCGATGAGGACCCGCTGCAGCTGGGCCTCGAGGTCCGTGAAGTCGGCGAGCAGGGCAGCCTCAGAGTGTCGGGGTGGCCGATAAAGGGAGCAGATGATTATCTGTTGGCCCTTGTCCAGCTTCAGCAGCGCCCACTGCGACTCCAGCTTGCTTTCGGAGCTCCCGCTGCCGGGGATCTTCAGTGTCATTGACGTCAAACTGTTTTTAGTGATGATGGCTACGCCGCCATAACCGCTGCCATCTGGGCGGTCCACACGACTGAGCGAGTAGCCCGGAATGACCAGGAGGCGTTTCGGGGTAGACGGACGTAGCCAGGTCTCGGAAAGCACCATTACGTCGTAGTTGCGGCGAGCGAGTTCGCAGGTCAGCTCTTGAAGTTTGGGTTTGATACTTTGAATATTTAGGGCGCCGATCAGCAATTTGGGCGGGTCGGTCGGCCGGCTGGACTGGAGAGTCCTCGATGCGGGGCGGGGTCCACATGCCGCTTCCGCAGGGCTGAGGGGGCGTGATCGATTAAGACAGCGGATGAGAAACGCGGGAAGACTGCGCCGGATAGTCTCGGCTACTTCACGAGTGGTGTCGTTGCTTAGTCGGTCACGCACCGCCATCAGATGTGCCCGGTCGTATGCACGTCTGGCAGATTCAGCAGTGTGATCGTCCCGTCGGTGGTCGCTGGCCGGTGTTTGGCACTCTACACGGCGAGACCCGTTCGGGGCCCCAGTGCCGGAAGCAGTCCCAGACAGTCATAAGTATTGACATAAGTATATATCATAAGTATAGTATTGACCCAGACAGTCATAAGCACATTGCACATCTTTCTCAAGCAATACAAAAGAGGAAAGACGATGGTGTTTGTCCTCTAGAATAACTATCGTTCGTTAATTAATAGGTGATTGATGCGGTTGAAGTTAATGTCAAGGTTTGACTGTCCAGACATTCGGCAATCAAAATTCAAACAAGGAGTACCTACCTAACTTCTCAGATGAAATTCCTACATGACTTGAACAATATTTGTATGTTCCATCAAGTTGCTATTTAGTTGAATTTGCTAACGTATAAAGGAAGAAAACGTTTTTGCGCCTTCTCTGCCCGTAACCGAAACTGTGTATCAACAAAGTGAGTGTAACGTTTTAATTATGACGTGCAACATTGTTTTATACGAGCTATATAAACTTGAAAATGGTTTGTGCTTAGATGATTGGATCATTTTAAACTATATATCACATTATGGATTTGTAGACGTGTGCTTCTAACAGACCATCGAAATCGAAAGTGTGGCGCAGATTCCCCCCCCCCCCCCACAAAAAAATAATGTCCAAATTGCTATTGCTTCTGGTTACAATTAGCAAAGCAGAATCGATGACTGTGTCCGAAACACGATAGCTATGCATCGAACATGTGGACTGAGTGCTTGCGCCTTTGTTTGTGTCATGTGCACTTCTTTTCTTATGTCTGCCAAAGCGCATTCGAATTTAAACGGTGACCGTTCGGCATGAAATAAATATAATATAGCACAAAACATTTACTTTTGCTACTACCTTCCTTTTTGCGTCGTCCCGGTGGTTCTTATTTGAGGCGTAAGTATATGAACACTATACACTGAACATAATGTTATCTACGTATATCAGTGGTCGGCAGGTCCTCCGGGGTCGTGCCCCCTTTTTTGGCGCCAGGCAGGGCCATTACCCCCACCTACCAGACCCCATTGGTGATACAACCAAGGTTACTGAAATTCCATACTTTTCCGTGACTCTTTGGGTACCATATCTGCGAGAAACCGCAGGCCCCCTCCCCTGCGGTTTCTCGCAAATATCTCAAAAACGTTGGCACGGAGCGCCACCATTTTGGAACATTTTATCATACATCGTTTCTGCACATGTTGTGAATATTTCAGACCACAGTCACTCAAGGTCAGGTCACCAGATCACGTCAAGTGACCTCACCTCAGTAAAGACTGCAACGCCTGCTTTAGCTTCATTGAGTGACAGATCTCTTTCAAACTTTCAGGAATTGATAAAGGCAACAACATGTACAAAATTTGTATCTCGGAGATTTGATGTCGGTGACCAAAGTTCAGGTCAATTTCACGCCCTCTCCCATTATCAATGGGAGTGGGCGCAAAGTCAATGGTAGAAAATTGAAAGGCGCCTCTTTTGGACCAGTGTCATTCCTAACACTGCAGTGACACTCTTATTTACAAGTAAACATGACCGCTGAACCGGAAAATTGCACCCGTAACCCTACTGTATGTCCCTGAGGTCATTTCAGGTCATGAATGGTATCTAACAGCTATTCGCTAATAACTTTTGATAAAGGCATCCCAGAGCGATGGAAATGCCGTAGATGTGTTCAGCTCGACGATACGGATCGACTGATGTGCAACAAAACCTTCGATGCTTCTCGACGGGAGGATCACGATGCTGATAAAAGTGAGCTCTTGCAAGTTTTGAGTGAAAAGTTATTTAAGAAAAACTATCAGCAAGCAACGTACATTTTGGCAGTTTTTGTCTCCTGCAGGCTAAACTATCTTCGGTTGAATCTGAGGGCAGGCATCAGAAAAAAACGTTAAGAGAGCTATCGAATGCGTTTTTCCGCAGCGCTGTAGCTCTATCCTTTCCTGAGCTATAGGCCAGTTTGTCGAAAATTGTCAAAGGTTGACCTGGAAATTGGCGAAATTTTACGTTCAATGACCTCTGGCGACCTGACCTTTGATTTGACCTAAAAGGTGACCATAGTTTTTTCTTCATCATTTCTTACGCTCTTTCGATCGCCGACTACGGCGTTTCGCTAGTGACCCAGGACCCAAGTTAATAGGGGGTGTTCAACCTCCATCTCCAGCAGGGCGTGGAAATCCAGGAGCCCCAGCGGGGCGCGGGTTAACCCCCATACGTATAGGGGTAGCGGGTATTTTTCGAGAATAGATCACGTTAAAAGGGTCGGATCACGGAAAAAAACTGTACCATCGAGCCGATCATTTTTATCTGTCCTGAAAATGGCATGACCTTAACCCGAATAACCGTTGATTTGTGAGATCTTTCTTGAGATCATGGCAGGCCACAAAATCTCACCTCAAGAAGTTACAGCAGGACCCGATTAACTCGGCAGTTGTTATTGACCTATGGAAGGTCACCCAATGATCAACGACCTTTAAATTGGGTAGCAGCGGCTGCTTATCTTCACGGGCAACACGCTCAATTTTTCTGCAAAGCTCCAGCTCAGAGACCGAGATGCTCAGGTCAGGGTGCAATGGACGACTCCTCTCCCTTGCGTTAGTGACTGTGAAAACGCCAATAGACGAGCGCCGGCTAGTACATACATGACACTGACAGTTACTTTCCACGACTGTACGGCATGGTGAGCAGCTACATGAAAATTGGCATGCGCCAGCTAATCAGTTCATGCTTTGTGCGTTTGACCTCGACTAATCTTTGAATCCTTTGGCACAACAGTTGCGATGCTTGTCCCATCAAGGGAGCCATTAATTCTAAAAAAGATGAGGCTTTCTCAGAGGCCCTCATTACCCCCCGCCGAAGGGCGTCATTACCCCCAAAGGGGGCATGCCCCACCATTTGCCGACCCCTGACGTATATGATGCAACGTTTCGCGTGCATTTGAGGCACTTCTCAAAATCACTATTCGCCCCATCGAGGAAGCAGAGCCTTGAGCTTGGCGCCAAACGCCGAGGCACGAGGTATTTTGTATAACCTGTCACGTGCACAACTCTTTGTGAGACAAATAAATAAAGAGTTACTTATTGACAATTTGGCAAGCTAGAAAATGCAGAAAATGGGTCTGGTGGAAGCGGACTGCTGCAAATATTTAGGGACCACTCGACTAGCAGTAGTTATTCGTCGATAGTCTTGAAGTGCAAACGATTGTCTTTACAAAAATGTAGACAGACCCGCAGTTTGAATTATACAGTAGTTGAATACCAGCAGTTCAAGATGAAGCGAAGTGATGTTTGTTTAACACTTTGCGCGCTATGGATACAGGCGCTAATTCCACTGCCAGTAACAGAAGGTAAGTTCACAAAGGGAAAAATGCCATGGCTCGTACGCTCCAACAACTCAATTTTGTCTAGCTACTTTCATTACACAACGTTATTAGGAGCCAAAAGCAAGCATAAGTTACAAGTAGCACAAATCGTTTGCATACACTGCATTTTCAATCAATTAAAACCATTTTGTGACAATGATAGTAAAAATATACGTTAAAAGTTTTGCTTCGGCTTATCTTGTAGCGGGATGTTCCTTTGCAAATTACGTGACCTTCGTTATGCTCGTATTGTCGGGGAATATGCCCTTTGTCACGGTAGGTTTGTCATTGTAAGGGGGCTGAACAGTGAACTTGAAAAGATAATTAATTCTGTTACTTGTTTAGCATCAGGATTTAGTACCTACTAATAAAATATTAATATTTTATTGCAGGCTTGTCATGCTTTACCTGTAGCAGCAAGACCAACGAAGGCTGCAAGAACGAAGACCTGAAAAGTGGACACCGGAACAATCTTTTCTCCGAAACATGCCCCGGAACTGATGCTGTTTGCATCAAACAATCTATTGAAGGTGAGTTAGATCGTGACTAAAGACAAGGAAAGATTAAGCCTTTTATCGTGTTTTATTTTAAAAGTTAGGGAACTCTGAGGATGGGTGCTTCACTTCATAAACGATTAAACGAACCGTGCTAGTTTGGTTTATTAAATTGAACATTTTTCGGTCTGTTGAGGAAGTTTGTCACGGCCTTTGAACGGCCTTTGGGTAAGAGGTTTGGAAAGAAACATCGGACTAGGTTGTGAGTAGTCTGTAGACAATCAAGTCGTGCATCGTCGGCAGTTGAGCCCATCCTGTCTGGAACGGAGTGTCCTGCGGGTGGAACAGGCCTCTCAGTCACTCAAATAGTCAAGGCAGATGGGCCCCTGCGCCCTGCGACCTCCATTGCCTGTTTGGTTGGATGCTGGTCATCCCGGAACATAAGCCTTTTGTACGGGGAATAAGGGATGCATACGTGATGATACATAGTACCACCATAACACACCGACTAATGTCTTTCAGTCAAACACTACTACGAGGAGCACTACAACCGGGCCGAGCTCAAGAAATACTACACAGCGATGGACGAGGCTGCCGAGTGTCATGGAATCGGACATAAGCCTCACACCGCCGTAACCGGCGCCCCTGGCGACAACGAGACAAGCACTAGTTCAGACGACACCCACCAGGATGTCACTGCTGCTCCGGACTCGGCGCCCGACTCCGGAGCTCCCGCCGCTGACGCTGGTGATTCAGCTGGAGAGGACGGTGGCGAGGCGGCCCCGGCAGCAGGAGATGCTGCGGCCGACCCAGCTGGAGATGCTGCAGCTGCCCCTGCCGGACGACGGCGACGTGCTGTGGCTACCAACTGTCCGGTGAGGAGGCTGAAACTTCATAAACCTTCTCGATAAGTAAATAATCCCGACAGGCGTCAAGCTCATGACTATAATTGTCTCATGCATGACACGTCCCTTGTTTCGTATTAAAGTATTCAAGGTCTTGAAGTTCCAGCTGTACTGTGTGCGTTTTTAGGCGACTGCTAGCTTCACTTGTGGACTGTGTCCCACAGCGTAAGGCTATTTTCCGTTTTGCTTGTGTGAATTGAGAGAGGCAGGTCTAACGTCCCTTCCTCATCAGAGCTCGTTCTTTCTAGAAATACCCGAAGGCGTTTCCGGAGCCGGAGGCTCTGGTGGAGCGGTCCGACCAGCGCTGGATCTACTCGTGCGGCAACCGCTCCGAGTGGCACCACGTCAAGGTCGGTCACTGCCACCGGCACACCGATGGCATCCTGGAGGAATCCATCTGCATCTGTGCTGAGGATTTGTGCAACGGGGCCACGGCTCGGCAGGCCGTGCCGTTCCTGGTGCTGGCAGTGGCCCTGGTTCATCTGCAGCGAATGATCGGCTGAGGGAACCAAGTGCCACTTCAGTGGAGATAGGAAACGTCGTTGTGATGCTTGGGACGGCGGCAGCATTGCCTGAGGGTTGGGTAGGAGATGGAGGGTCGGGTTGGCCAAGTTGGGTTAATGGGGGAATTATAGGATGAGGATTGGTCTGTGTTGATTTCCTTGGGATTGATAAAGATGGACGTAGGCTGTGAACAAAAGCAATGCTCGTCAACTTGATGTTAGAGACAAAATGTAGGTAGAGAGACGTCAGCAATTTGATGTCTATAGGAATCGGAATGTGTTTTTAAACTGTGCATGCTTTGACATGGCAGGGAAATAAAATTGAAACACAATATATGTTCAGCATCCTGTCAAAGTTTGTGAGGCTAGGACCGAAACTGCCATTTTACATTCACTAAGGTACTGGATTCATGAGATGTCATACCCACTCTTGAGCTGGCCTGACCAGACATACAATGTACCGTTGTCAAGTATACGATAATCAGTACTTTATCATTTCTTTATTAATGTGCACACTTCATGCCATTTCTACAGTAACCATGACAATCGTATTCATTTTACCGTAACCGTGTTCCATACACATGCATTCTCAAGGCAAACTCGTTTGCAAAAAGCAGCAATTATTCCTGTCAGCTCAGCTTCCACTTCTTACGTCATTTCACAAACGGGTAGTCATTCGAAGATAAAGCAATGTACATATACATACTGCGCTTGACACGCATTAATATGCCATTACACACAATGCATCATTCGCAGTAGTAACAATATGGATTGTTTTCATAACATAAACGGCACAACTGAAATGATTAGACTGAGAGATAAATTGTATGTGGATATTCACTATTCGCCTAAAGTGTTTTTATAAGCAAAAATTTCTTTCAACGAAACCAATAGTCTTTTATGATTACAGCCGATATCATATACAGCCGATATCAAGTTGGAATTGGTCGACACACAAAAAGCAAGTAAAACAAACATTTAGAAGACCATTCTAATTATTTTCACTTCCGTTAAAAAAAAAATGAACACTGGTTTGTTTCCGTCCTGCTCGTGGGAAGTGATCTCCCCCAGTTATTTTGTTAAGCATTATATAGGGCGCCAACAACACAGATCGGCAACGAGAAACAAATATTTTTTGAACATATTACGCAATACAATGCACAGTGTACATGTACATAGCCCAAAGTATCCAATAATTACGAAGGTTGGTATAACAATCAAATTGCAATCAAAATGCCACATTTACAGACCACTTGTTCTAAACTCGCACATACTTTCCACATTTATTCCACACTATTCCACGTCAATCTTGAAATGCAATGCAAATCACTGAAGGAACTTAGCTCTACCTTAATGACAAACCATCCAGTTCAGTAATTTGCCTCTCATTCCGATAGGCATTGCATTGCTTTATAGGTAATATACGTCTACGGTTGACTATCATCTCTATAAATACAGATGTTGAGCAGAAGCATAGCAATACTCTCACAATCCTCACCAGAAGTTACGCGTGAGATGGCGACCGCAACCACACTGATGTGCAATGATTTTGGAACGATGAAACTATTTGCAATGCAAGTTACACTGATGAGTGATACGTAATGTGTTCAATGTTGATATAAAAAATGGTAAATGAGACAAAGCATATGTGGTAGCTAAGAAGTTCTGGAAAAACAGTATGCGAAGATAAGCAAAACTAAAAATGCTCGAGGGTACAGGGAAACTTATAAAACGTTACGTTCGATATTTTTTGCAGAATCAACGGTTTTACAGAACAAAAAGCAGTTAGAAATAAAAATTAATTCTGAAGTGCTTACGAGTGAAAACCTATCATTAAGGGTAGCAGGAGCATTTGTTTTTTAGCCGTCAAATCATGAAACTCAATCGACTGACACTATATTTTCTATACTCAAAAGTCGACACATTTGTAGGATACGTTTACCTCATGTTTTGATTTTACAATCGAGGCTAACTGTTAAATTGACCACATAATGCCTCCGTTAGTATCTCGAGGAATATAAACAAGTAAAATCACGATGATTGCGATGCAGAACCGGACGAGTTTTAAAATGTCTTGAAAGTTTGCTTATCAAATTAAGAAGTACTTTTAGGTACTAAAGCATGCTTCAAGATATCTAATGGAAGAAGAACAAGAATTTATATATAAAAAAATCGGAACAAAAGGGCAGGTGTACCGTATTCTTATAAATGAGATCACCTCCACTTCGATCAGCAAACAAGTGAGCAGGCTGCAGCATCAAAGAACATTAACCCGCGCACCGACGGGGGGGGGGGCGGATATCCGCCCCCCTGAGGTTTTTCGCGAATAGCGGGAAAACCGCGGCGCGTAGCGCCGCGAAATTTGGTATGACTATTCCCTTATCAATTTTACACATGGTGTGCAAGTTTGAACCTCCTACCTTTCAAGGTCAGGTCACCAGGTCACTTTGAATGACCCAACCTCAAGTCACTTTTTTGCAACTTTGTCACCGTGCCAGAGCTACAGTAGATGTCGGAGGCCTTTGAAAGTCGCAGGATGTTATTAGGTCATTAGTAGCTACAATTTGTATATCTCGGAATTTTGATATCGGTGACCTAAGGTCAGGTCAATTTCGCGACCTCCCCATTATAAGTCAATGGGGGAAAAATCAACTCCCTGTTTTTACCACTAAAACGGGTCGGAATGGCCCCATATACCATACATGACTTCATATACGATCAACCTTCACTACCTTGAGGTCTGTTTTGCTGTTGGGCAGCTGTGAGGTCATGTGACGTCATCAAAGGTCACCAAAGGTTTTTGGCCAATAACTCCGTACAGGAACAAGATACAGACGCGTGGATGGTCTCATTGTGTTCAGCTCGTCAAGACGCATCGAATGATATACATGATGACCTCGAGGTCACGTGACCTGAGGTCAACCTTTGACCTTGACCTTTCGAGGTCAACATATGTATCATTCGATGCGGATTGACGAGAGGATCACGATGATGCCCTTAGTTTGTTCCTATCTTGACTAATTCGAAAGTTATTCGAGAAAAACTCTCTCCATATTTAGCGCCGCCATTTTGGCTTTTTCGACCCCTGTGACGTCATCTTTGACCTGACCTGAAAATGACCTTAGTAAAAATTGTAGATCTTGACCGTGCGTATCCGATGCCGTTTACCGCTTGTCGCTATCTTGCTTCGTTCTCGAGATCTCAGGGGGGGGCGGTCATCCGCCCCCCCCCCGTCGGTACTAAGTTGGCGCAGACCCCCGTCGGTGCGCGGGTTAAAGTCACCACCATTCCACGAGACAGCATAAGCAGTAGCATGACTAGCTACAAATAGAGGTAGATGTTAGAGATGTTGCTACTAAAAAGAACTACATGTCAGTGCTTGCATGTCAACAATATTTTAAAGCGGAGGAGGAATGTGTTTCTTCTCATTACCATATTCAACATTCCATATAAGGATGTGTTTTACGCACTCATCCTATAATCGGGCATGTGAGATAACGAACTTTGCACTTCACTAAAAATAGTAACACTTCGCGAAATGAGCGCACCATTTCAAGCATGTCTTCAAAGCCCAGGATGCCGCTGCACCCAGGCTTCCCAGCTCCCCACTGTCGTATAATTCATTGCACTGCACGTCGCCAACCTATGCCGTTCGACACAGACAACGCAGCGCTCCTTGTCTATATCTCACTCAATTATGTAGGTCCACCGGCGGTGTCCTTTTCCAACATTTCACGACACATCACGAGCATATCGTTTCTCTCGACCGTCCTGTCGGCTCCTCACGTCACCCCTTCGCCTGTTCTGTTCCGCACTGTATCAGACCTGCTGCGGTCCATTGAAATAGAACACCACCCAGTACACGGTGTTCAGTACCACAAACGACAAAGGGAAGAACACGCGCGAGAACCGGTCCACCAGGATGGCCCGGTGCCGCTGCTCCTGTGACGTGTCGCGCAGAAACGCCGACGGCTGCGGCAGCGCCGCCGAAAAGATGGCCCCGTTGTGCAGGGAGGCGGCGTCGCGTGGCCCGTCGCTCATCGGCAGGCCCTCGCCATCCGTCTGCGGCAGCGCCCAACGGTCAGACCGAAATCGACGCGCGATTGTCGGGAACGACGGGCGTGGTGTACGGAACGGGCGGGGTGGGGGCGGCCGAATGACTGTCTTAGAGTTTAGCAAGAGCCCGTCCGTGATGAGTAACATTGGTAAGGGGGATAGGCAATGAATATGACCCAAATTTGTCCACGAAATTAAACATAAGTGAGCATACGTCCAAAATGACTGATTTTTTTTTTCGCTTGGAACGTCCATAACATTGTTCGACGCCCGCCACAAAAATAAGAAGTAAAAATAATACCTTATGATAATAAGAAATAAGTAAAAATAAATAAAAATAACAAAATACTAAGACACCCGTTACCCAAGGCACAACATCCGTCAACATTCGCCCACAAGTCATTCCTCATTCATTCCGCACTGTTACCCCACCCAACAACCCTTAGAATGTCCAGTTATTATGGCTATCCGCGGCGCGCTTCCACTTTGATTTCCCCAGGCGATGGGTGACCGCCGGCGGGTCAGCCGTCCCCTGGGGATATACTGTGCCGCCGCACCCACCTTGATGCCGCCGGGCGCGCGGCGCCGGCGCACTGTCAGTCTCCGTCGCACCGAACGGATGCTGCGCCGCACCAGGGACTCGTCAGCGTCCACCAGGTCACCCATGATGACGTTCACCATGGCGTACTCCATCAGCGAGAGGAACACGAACACAGTGCACGCGTTCATGAACACGTCCACCGCCTGAGGGAGACGGAGGAAAGTGCTCAGATGTGGGTATCCGATATCCGAAGGTTGGGACTTTTCAATTAGACAATCACTATTCTTTAGAATTGTGATTTTCTATTGAAAATCCCAACCTGAGCTACCTCTCTAGGGGGGTGTTTAGCGTTTCGGCCGCGATTTAGGACATTTTGATTCCGAGAAAAACGGCACGGTAGAATTTTTTGCCATTTTCAGCGTTTGGTCCCGTATCGGGGAGCTACCGGCTGGCATCGGTCGCTTGAAATATAATTAACCCGTTTTGGGGTAATCGGCACGTGCATTTTCCCATAGGGTTAACATGGGGGAAAATTGGAAATTCGATTTGCGAAAAATTTCGTCAATTATATTTGCTGATATTTTTAGGATCGGATCTCGGCCTGCCACCTCACCTTTTGATGTTAATTATTTAAAAATCATAGGGTACAATTTCGGGTAATCTTGACGGACAGTTACCCCATGTTGAGCCTATGGCATTATCGAAAAATTATTTTCAAATCGATTTTGCCAAAAATTTCCACGTTAGATTTTGAAAATGTTCCAATATGTTGTGCCCCGGGGTGTCGGCTACCACGTGGTATGGGTCAGATATGGGGCGATTGAAAAGCACGTGCCACGTGCAAACGTGTTTGATGGGGTAACCTCCGGGAAAATCCGACATTGGCCAGCTTGGGGCCCTATGGCTCCGAAACCACTCCACCTAGCGACACCAAATCAACGCAGCCGGTGAGCAGATGAGTCCAGCTTGTTGCACCAGCGGTCACGTGGCGCACGTGCTATTGCACGTGCCGTGGCACGGGGTCAATTTTTGTTCTTAAATGCACCAACATTGTGAAATGCAATGAATGGGGGAAATAGCCGTCAGGTCGTCAGTTTTTATGATAGGGTCGATCTGAAAACGGGTATAGGCACAGAATGAAGGGGGCTAAAAAACTGCTATCTCGGATTTTTTGTAAAATGAAAAATTTAAAATTCTGGGAAAATTATATATTCGAAAGGTGAAATTTCCCTAAATTTTCCCGTTTTTCGAGTTTAGCCGTCCACTGTTCAGAGACGGTGACACCGGCCGGGGTCATTTTTTACATGCTGATGGCCACGTCGATGGGTCATCACGTGGCGTGAACGGTGAAGCAATCAGAGGTCCGGCACGTGCCACGTGGCCACGTGTTTGAGTCGCGTACCTCCCAGATTACCGTGTGTTTGCCGATTTGTGGCCTTATAGCACGAAAACAGCACCAGCCAGGAAGCCTGAAATGGCACAATCGGTGAGGGGACAAGTCCTGCTTGCACTACCGGTGGTCACGTGGCACACGTGCGAAGATGGGCACCTTCGTGGCGGAGATATTTTATAGTGAAATATTCAAATGTACATAACTTTGTCAGTTTAAGTCCGATTGGGCTAGAATTTGGTGGCTGGATGCATTGTTAAGCGGCAGGAACAAGTGCGCCACGTTTGTTGCAGTGCGCCACGTTTGTCTCAAAGCGCCATTTTTGCCGCAAATCGCAGAATGTGCGTATCTTTGTCGAACATGGGACGATTAGGATGCGCTGTGATTGAGGTATGGCTGCCTTAACGGCAGATATGAATGCATCACATTTGCCGCAAGGCGTCATATTTGTCTTAATGCGTCAGTGTTTGCGTTTTGCCCACGGCGGGCGTTTTTTGCGGCGGTGTTTGAGTTTTTCGGGGTTTGCGTTTGACGGCGGGCGGCCGTTTTTGCGTTTTTGGCGGTGTTTGCGTTTGGCGGCGGGCGGCCGTTTTTTGCGGCTTTTTGCGGTTGGCGGCGGGCGGGCGTGCGTTGTGGGCGTTTTTTGCGGCGGTGTTTGCGTTTTTTTGCGGTTTTTGTGTTTGGCGGCACGCGGGCGGGCGATGCGGGTGTTTTTGCTGTTTGCGTTTGGCGGCGGGCGGCCGTTTTAGCGGCGGTTTGCGGCGGGCGGCCGTTTTTTTTGCGGCGTTTTGCGGTTGCCGGCGGCCCGCCGTTATTTGCGGTTAGCGGCGGGCGGCGGGCGGTCGTTTTTTTGCGGCGTTTAGCGGTTTGCGTCGGGCGGCCGTTTTTGCGGCGTTTTGCGGTTCGCGGCTGCGGCCGTTTTTTTGCGGCGTTTCGCGGTTGGCGGCGGGCGATGCGGGCGTTTTTTTGCGGCGGCGGTTTTGCGTTTTTTGCGGTGTTTGTGTTTTGCGGCGGACGCGCGTTTTTTTTGCGGCATTTTGTGCGTTTTTTCTGCGGTTTTCGGCGGGCGGGCGATTGTTTTTTGCGAAGTTTGCGTTGGCGTTTTATGCGTGCGTTTTGCGCGTTTTGCGGTGTTTGCGTTTGGCGGCGGGCGGGCGGTTTTTCACGATTAAAGTCCCAACCTTCGGATCCGCAGTGCTGTTCGACAAGCGCTGCCCGGGCCTATCCGAAGGTTGGGACTTTTCAATTAGACAATCACTATTCTTTAGAATTGTGATTTTCTATTGAAAATCCCAACCTGAGCTACCTCTCTAGGGGGGTGTTTAGCGTTTCGGCCGCGATTTAGGACATTTTGATTCCGAGAAAAACGGCTCGGTAGATTTTCTTGCCATTTTCAGCGTTTGGTCCCGTATCGGGGAGCTACCTTGTGGCAAAGTTACAAAAAATATAATTGACACGTTTCGGGGTAATCGGCACGTGCATTTTCCCATAGGGTTAACATGGGGAAAAATTGGAAATTCGATTTGCGAAAAATTTCGTCAATTATATTTGCTGATATTTTTAGGGTCGGATCTAGGGCTGGCACCTCAACTTTTGGTGTTAATTATTTAAAAATCATAGGATACAATTTCGGGTAATCTTGACGGACAGTTACCCCATGCTGAGCCTATGGCGATTTCAAAAAATTATTTTCAAATCAATTTTGCCAAAAATTTCCACGTTAGATTTTGAAAAAGTTCCAATATGTTGTGCACCGGGGTGTCGGCTACCACGTGGTATGGGTCAGATATGGGGCGATTGAAAAGCACGTGCCACGTGCAAACGTGTTTGATGGGGTAACCTCCGGGAAAATCCGACATTGGCCAACTTGGGGTCCTATGGCGTGAAAACCACTCCACTTAGCGACACCAAATCAACGCAGCCGGTGAGCAGATGAGTCCAGCTTGTCGCACTAGTGGTCACGTGGCGCACGTGCTATTGCACGTGCCTTGGCACGGGGCCAATTTTGGTGCTTAAATATACTAGCACTGTGAAATGCAAGGAATGGGGGAAATAGCCGCCCGGCCGACAGATTTTATGATAGGGTCGATCTGAAAACGGGTGTAGGCACACAATGAAGGGGGCTAAAAAACTGCTATCTCGGATTTTTTGTAAAATGAAAAATTCAAAATTCTGGGGAAATTATATATTCAAAAGGTGAAATTTCCCTAAATTTTCCCGTTTTTGGACTTAAGCCGTCCACTGTTCAGGGACGGTGACACCGGCCGGGGTCATCTTTTAATGCTGATGGCCACGTCGATGGGTCATCACGTGGTGTGAGCGGTGAAGCTATCAAAGGTCCGGCACGTGCCACGTGGCCACGTGTTTGAGTCGCGTACCTCCCAGATTATCGTGTGTTTGCCGACTTGTGGCCTTATAGCACGAAAACAGCACAAGCCAGGAACACTGAAATGGTGCAATCAGTGAGGGGACAAGTCCTGCTTGCACCACCAGTGGTCACGTGGCACACGTGCAAATCTGGGCACCTCCGTTGCGGAGATATTTTATAGTGAAATGTTCAAATGTACATAACTTTGTAAGTTTAAGTCCGATTGGGCTAGAATTTGGTGGGTGGATGAATTGTTAAGCGACATGAACGAATGCGCCATGTTTGTTGCAGTGCGCCACGTTTGTCTCAAAGCGCCATTTTTGCCGCAAAGCGCAGAATGTGCGTAACTTTGTCGAACATTGGACGATTAGGATGCGCTGTAATTAAGGGATAGCTGCTTAAACGGCAGATATGAATGCACCACATTTGCCGCAGGGCGCCATATTTGTCTTAATGCGTCAGTGTTTGCGTTTTGCCTACGGCGGGCTTTTTTTGCGGCGGTGTTTGCGTTTTTTTCGGGGTTTGCGTTTGACGGCGGGCGGCCGTTTTTGCGTTTTTGGCGGTGGTTGCGTTTGGCGGCGGGCGGCCGTTTTTTGCGGCGTTTTGCGGTTGGCGGCGTGCGTGCGGGCGTTTTTTGCGGCAGTGTTTGCGTTTTTTGCGGTTTTTGTGTTTGGCGGCGGGCGGGCGGGCGATGCGGGTGTTTTTGCTGTTTGCGTTTGGCGGCGGGCGGCCGTTTTAGCGGCGGTTTGCGGCGGGCGACCGTTTTTTGCGGCGTTTTGCGGTTTGCGGCGTATCCGAAGGTTGGGACTTTTCAATTAAGACAAATCACTATTCTTTAGAATTGTGATTTTCTATTGAAAATCCCAACCTGAGCTACCTCTCTAGGGGGGTGTTTAGCGTTTCTGCCGCGATTTGGGTCATTTTGATCGCCGCCGAAACGGCTCGGTAGATTTTCTTGCCATTTTCAGCGTTTGGTCCCGTGTGGGGGAGCTACCGGCTGGTACCGGTCGCTTGAAATATAATTAACCCGTTTTGGGGTAATCGGCACGTGCATTTTCCCATAGGGTTAACATGGGGAAAAATTAAAAATGCGATTTGCGCAAAATCTGTTCAGTAATATTTGTCCACTTTTTTAGGGTCAGTTCTTGGGCTGGCACCTCACCTTCTGGGGGTAATTATTTAAAAATCATAGGGTACAGTTTCGGGTAATCGTGACGGACAGTTACCCCATGTTGAGCCTATGGCGATTTCGAAAAATTATTTTCAAATCGATTTTGCAAAAAATTTCCACGTTAGATTTTGAAAATGTTCCAATATGTTGTGCCCCGGGGTGTCGGCTACCACATGGTATGGGTCAGATATGGGGCGATTGAAAAGCACGTGCCACGTGCAAACGTGTTTGATGGGGTAACCTCCGGGAAAATCCGACATTGTCCAACTG